CACTGTTGACATTCTAATGGTGAAAAAATATGAAATTAAATAAACTATAAAATAAAGAAAACATTGCAAGATAAATACTGAAAGCTTACAGTAAAATGTTATTACTAACCAAGTATTCCTTGATCATTGTGTTGCTGTCCTTGTTTAAGTAGACACACAGACCTCTAATAACATAGTCTCTCTTCAGCTCAATGTTGTTCCTCTGCCTTTTTTGTCAGGCTACTTGTTGACTGGATAGTTTTGGCTATCATCCTGCATATGCATGACCAATGTAGGGGAAATCAAATTCTTGTGACAGACAAAAGTTTATGCAGCACTATAATGCTTCTCATGTGTGTAATTGTGTTATGTTGCGTCACATTACTGTGGGATCGCTTTCACATACGTTTTCGTTCATGTTGAAACGTCAGTGTCAACATGAACCACACCTTGACTAAAATGCAAGATATCATTTTTTCCTCGGCCTGGACCACATAAACCAAACTACACCTATAAAACCTCTACTAAGATTGTACATTAAACTATATGGGAAGCCTTTTAAACAAGTGTTGGACTGAAAGGAATATTTTACATGGCTAAATAATGTAATAGTTTAATGCACTTGCCTTAGCTGTTGGAGCCATGAGCAATCTTAACTTCTTTCCAGCAGCTCCCCCTCTGCTGCTGAAGACCTTCATTAAGTTCAGTGTAAATTTACACATTATGTAGAAATTTGCATTAACATTATTTAATTTATTGCATTTAATGTGACCTTTTACATTCAACTTATTTAACAAAATTACATGTAATTAAATTACATAAAGTCCACGTTTTTGGCTTAATTATTTTTTGAGTGTAGTAAAGAACGACACCCTCAAATCAGCATTCTTAATTTTTTCAGCGACAGGCCTGCAACGCAGTATCAACAGAAGGGAAATTTCTTCTACCTCTCAACAGAACCCTACAAGTATAGAACTGTTCTCCACTTAAAAACATTGTTCTTCTTGTTCTACAGTTGAATGTTTGACTTTCACTGTGCAGAATGATGTACAAAGTTTAATGCTACAAGGCCACATCTGTTCAACTGGTAATTTCCCCCTACATGGGAAAAGGATGTATTGTATTGTGGATGTAAATGATGTATTTTTTAATACATCAATTACTTTAGAATTATTGCATTCATGAGGCCATTCAATGAATTTTCATAACATGTCCACCCTGTCATGTTCATGTTTTATGAAAATGAACCAAATATTTTCACAAGTTAGTAAAACTTTTTGTATGATTCCTTTTTAAACTAATGAGCGCCAAAGTTTGAAAGTTTGACCATTTATCTTTTTTGTTAGATTTTATTTAGAAAAGAAAGTGCAACTCTCGCAGATTTTATAGAGAAACAAATAGTTTGCCATCATTTCATTATTATCTTAATACTTTTCCCATTAACTTAAATATGTTGTTGAGAAAGGGACTAAATGGCTTTCTGAAAATGTACATTTTATAACCACTATGTAATTACAATGTATTTACTCTACTTTGAATTTGTCCACGATAGGGTGGACATATTTTGCTGTTTGCATGGACATTGTCTGCTTGCAGTTAGTTTATAAAAAGTGTTGGAGCTTGACCAACATGCATTTCTAACAGCATAACATCTACTTAATACGATGAATATGAAGTTCAATGGAAAATCTCAGCTTTTTATTTTGGAAATGGGGAAGTCTCAAAGGCATCTTATGGTGATATTGACTCGAGTAAAGTTTATGTCCATCTTTGTAGAAACCCGGATTACCAAAACTGGTAAAAAAAAAGAGAAAAACTTTCAAACTACACAATTTAGTACCACATAGTTCCCAATCTTTTAGAATGTTTTCAACAGCTATTTTATGACATATAATGTGTTTAAAGAGAATCACTGACATTTCTTTTCACGGACATTAACATTAACTTGCACACAGCAAAGACTTTTGGACTTCAGAACCACAACTCTTTCAGCCCGGCTCACATGACTGCCAGCTGATCAACGCAGCTCACCGGCAACTCTTCTTCCTCCCCTGCTTTCACGGACTGTAACATACTGGGTATAGATTGTTTCAGACAACTTAACAGAGTTAACGTTAAGCAAGAGCTTTTTAATTGCTGTTAATGTTGCTGTACTGATGTGTTTTTATGTTGTTGTTATGTTGATTAGATTAACATCCTGGGTTACTGTAGTAACTGTAGTCTCTGAGACAGTCCTAAAGTGATGTTAGACACAGACACAATCTTTGCATGCAACGAACTCCCTTTGACGGCACCGTTATTGTTATCTGAGATTACACACACAACACACCAACGCGTCTTTCATGCTCTGCTGAAACATCTGGTTAGGCCAAAGGACACACACCTTTTCTAGAACACAACCCCCCATGCACGTGCACACACACACACACACCCTCTTTTTTCTTTAGCTTAGTTATTTTTAGTTAGATTGTACATTGTGTGTGTTTTCCTCTATTTTGCTTTTATTATCTCATTAATAAATGCTTGTGTTTATACATGCTGGCCTATTTAATTCCGCACAAGAGTAGGTGATCCCAGCCACTTCTATGCAGATTTCCAAATCTTTCTACCTTACAGGAGACATATTATTCCCCTTTTCAGGTTCATAATTGTATTTTGTAGCTCTACTACAATAGGTTTAGATGTTTTAATGTTGAAAAAACACATTATTTTTCTCATATTGCCTATAGCTGAGCACCTCTTTTCAGCCTCTGTCTGAAACGCGGCTGATGCTCCGGCCCTCCCACTTCAGCCTCAGCGTTGGCGGTGTTTTGACAGGCAGCTACTCACTGTTACTGAGTTTAGCTGCATTTCTACCGTAAATATTAATTCAATAACTGCTTCTACACCAAAATGTCAGAGCAGGAGTCTGACCTGAAATCGCGGAGAAAAGAACAATATCAACAATCAGGATTACAGCTTTCTGTGATGTTTTCCTCAGGTTTAATACTGCTAACGCTATTAATCTCTGTTTATCACGTTAGGTCAGTGTTTATACCTTAACTATCAAAACCAACGCTTTGTTTTATGCTTGTCTTTAGAGGTACAGCAGTGACCTACAGTCTACAGAGCCCAGTGAAGTAAAACATATTTGTAGTGAGGAGCTAAAGAGGTAACGTTGTTAGCATGTGCATGTAGCATAGTATATATAATGTAAACTGTAATTAGCCGGATGTGGGGATGTTACCATACCAAACAGACGTGAAACTTCAATCAAGCGATTGTTTTCTAGTGAAGAAACAGCCAGTAAATGTACCAAAGTAATCAGAGTAATAGTATAATGATTACTGTAACCTCCCATCTGTTATATTCTTTATACACATTAGTTTACTGAGACCAGGGAAACTTACCATAATGAGTAATTGTAATTGAAAAACTGCTAAGTGACCAACTGTAAACTGTACTGTACCATATTTCATAGTAAGTCTGATATTTTAACTTAAAACATTTGTCAGACAATTATTACCAAAGTCAACCTTCAGATATTTGTAAAAGCTGAAATTATGTTTTAATGCCTTTCAAAATACTGTATACAGAATACTGTATGAGACAGTATGTATTGTGTTGCTTACAGTCATTTACTACAGGTTTAAATGTCACATTTTTATATTAATGTTACACGGACCAGGTTTTCAACTCTTCTACATCCATGAAATCTTCATAAAACCTCTGTGAAATAACACCTTATTTATATAAAACCATACTTATTACTGAATTTAAAAATGACCAAAACTCTACTTAAAAAAAAAACACTTCATTCATGTTTCATTCATAATCCAGTTACACAGAAATACAAATTGTGCGTATGTTGCAAGTAACAAAGGTATAACTTCTATGTGAGCTGTGCAGATCGTGTCCTCCATCAAGGTTTATGGTTTCTAGTATACTGAAGTGTCAGCTGGTAATGGAGCTCTGCGGTCAGTGTTCATCTCGATGCTTCTTCCTTTGGATACCCAGACTGTCCTGATGCTGCAGCTGTCTCTGTCCTCTGATGGGTCCAGGAACACCTGAGCTTCATCACGTTACTCAGATCACCTGTAAACCATGGCAGATTCAGCGTTACTTGTAAGACAGCATATAATACAGTACAACAGCTCATTGTGGCTCAAAGTAGTCCTAAGTTATAAAATAAAATAATGAAGCAGTGTCTCTGGTGGGTCCCTTGTTGCAGCTAACTGTAGTGATGTGTTGTTGAAACAGTCTCAAACGTCTAGCTAATGGCAGCAGCTACACACAGTGCTATAATAGGCTATAATAATTTAAAAGACTAGTTTGTTAGTGTTATTACTATTGTTATTTTAATGTGTATCTTATTTGCTGTATTGTTTTGTCTATATGCATGTTAAAACTCAATAAAAATTTAAGTTACAAAAAAAATAATATAAAAGGCTCATAAATACAGTCCAAGTTCCCGGTGCAAAAACAGACATTTAGCAGTGAGCCTCTGTATTGTTTATAATACAGCAGGAGATGATATGACTAGGAGATGTTACACTGGACCTGCACTTATATCGTCAGTAATACCGGTACTACAGTAACACTAAGTATATGTCACGGTTTGACTCCACAAACGGCCTAGAGAGCAACCCCAGCTGCTCGGTGCTGATCAAAGTTACACAATATTACTAAACAAATGAATCCCTGCAGTTTGACATTTGACTACAACTACTGACTAGTCAATCAAGTTCATTTACATTCAGCACACACACACACACACACCTGAGCGTAGCAGGAGAACGGCTTCAGAGTAACAACAAAGCTAGCTGAGATAATGTTAGCACGTCAGTAGAGCGTTCCACAAGAAGCATCGGGAAAAATAATCACCAGCATCCAAACTACTAACTTACTCACGGTATTTTGTTGGCGTCTGACATTTCTGACTGTCCCTCAATATTACAATGTAAAGTCAGACAGCGGACTCAGTAACATTAGTCAGTGATATTAGTGGAGCCGTAATGCTAACGGAGGGGATCAGACACGTTTGGGTGATTCTCACGAAATCCAGATTAAGAAGGTGACCAGCATCAGAATTTTTAAAATGCCCTTGAAGCCAATTTTCTTTTTGCACATATAAGATTAAGGTATGAATTTACCATAACCATTATTTTCAGAAGATTTTTAAAAATATTTCCTATATATTTATTTACATTTTTAGATGAAGTCCATAAAAAATATCATTACCGCAACATGACATTGCATTAAATATATGGTTAAAAATGTGTATTTTTGGCTAATGTTAAAGTAGACTCTTATTACTCATGCTCAAAGCTATGTAAAACTCTGGAGAGATTACTTTTTCATAATTATTATATTTTGTAATTTCCTTATTTTCTCTCATTACCGAAACATATGTGATGATTTACAACTTCTTTTATTTAATTGTTTTACTAAAATATAACATACACATTTTTATGCAGCAGACCTTAAATAAGTAGTGTTGTATAATATGTATATACATCTTAAAACAAAATATGATTATCTAATTATTACTTAATTTGTAAAAAAGATACATGTTGCGGTAATGAGAATGCCATTTCGGGAATGAGGATCAATGTTTCGGAAATTAGATTTAGTTCAATACATTCACTATTGACAAAGGGGTTTGATGCCTAACCCTATTTTACATATTTAAAACACATACAATTTCTTTTAAAGAATATTTATTTCATAAACAGTGTTTCATTTTATCATTTATCGTAATGATCACAGTACCATGCCTTGTGTTAACAAGTGTTGTGTATACAAGTTACAATCTTGTGCTCATAAAGAATCATGCCATGTAGCCTACACTGCAGCACAAACAAATATACAACCATTAGTATAAATATTATCATTCTAGTATAACATACAATCATGTGTTCATGAGAACTTTTTCAATGTAACATACCATCATGTGTTCCTGAGAAACATTAATTTCCATGTAACATACCATCATGTGGTCCTGAGAAACATTTAAATGTAACAGCATCATGTGCTCTTGTAAAATTATTTTATTTTATCTATAAAACTTTGGTCCTGACATTCTATCAACCATACAACCTTTTTCTGAGAATAATTTCATGTGAAGAACTTAGCAAGCAACTAAAACAAACAACTGGAACGACTGCTTTGTACCAATCACGTTTTCCCCCTCCACGTTTTAACTCATTCATGAGCGTTTTTTGTGTCTTGCCCATACGTCAGGTAAAATGCAGAAATGCCTAGCAGAGGAGGTGACAGGAAGTGGTTCTGGGATTATGTCCCGTATGTCCTGACGATAGTACCAGACCCTTTCTCCTGGAAATCTGATGCTCGGCACATAGAAGCGGTTTTCCCCTGCACAAGTCATGGTGTCAACTTCATACTGCCCTTCAGCAATCTGTTTTAAGAAACATTTTTATAGTCTCTACACATTTTGGCTGGACAGCATGTAGTATAATGTAACTGGAGAAATATTCACATATTAACAGAAATCTTCAAATTAAATTCACCTGTGTGACTGTACCAGGGAACAAGTCACCATCGTATTCAACCAGGACCCACTGTCCAACCTCTATGGTGGCCTCGGTTTTGTCAGGGTCCTCATCTCCTTCCTCAAACAACACATGGCAATTTGCAGAAAAGCACTGGCAATTTTTTCCACAAAAGCATGACACCTCCTGTGTGTTTATGACTCCCGGTTTTGTGGATGTCAGCTGTTAGGGTGGAATTCAAAAAGACAAAGATGAATTGGAGTATCACACATTGACTAAGTTACAGACATTCTTTTGTGAGATTACTTCGGATACTGGTGTGGTCTGCTTTCCATGTTAATTACATGGGGAATTTAACTTATTTATTTAACTTCTTTAACTACATTTCCTTATTTAACTACATTTATCCATATTTACTCATATAATTAATATAAATGTTGACTCACTTGGTGTATTTTCAGTGTCCCAGGAACTGTTTTCAGGTTTGGGGGAACTAATTCACAGCTGGCCTTTATTTTCTCCTCTGGTACTTTGTACAGAGTCACTGATGAATTGTTCTTCAGCTGCTCATACAGAGACTCTGCATCAGGAATACTGGTCCCATAAGACACAATTCTGTCCGCAAGATTCTTCAAGGCCCCACCTACTCCATCTGGTGCACCTTTGCCATGTGATGCCTCAGTATAGTTCCAGGTCACCCATTGAAATCCATGCATAAAGGGCACAGTGGAGGCTAGATAGAAAGATGTTTTGTTTCTATACTGGGAAGTTGGGCCATCTGAAATTAAATGTAGGTTGTGGGCTTCAGGATACTTTCCTCGTATGTATCTCAGCACTGGGTCAAGATGAGCCCAGGTTGCCACTGCATCATGCTGTAAGCAGTCTGAGAGGGATGCAAAGGCTTCCACTCTGCCCCTACTGAGATAGAGTACCCCGGTGTGGAGGGTTACCTGATCATTCCCAGTTCCAAAATGGGTGTCCTTGATTTCTTTGGCATATTTGCAGCTGTAATTTTCGCTGTAATCCACATGCACAGCAACAGCATCATCTGTCAGGGTATCTTTCATTGCTTTCAATGTCAAATATTGGTGCTTGACATTAAACATGTGAATGGCAAAACCTGGAAGGTGTTCTGTTGTTAGGGCCAGCAACCGCTCAATGGATGAGGTACGCTTTTCAAGGAAGGTTTTCTTTGTCTGCTTTCCCTCTGTAGATCCATCCTTGAGGGTCTTTGTTACAGTGACAGACCTTGTGATCCACTCTTGCCAGATGACAGTGTTCCCCTGAGTGAGAGGATCTAAGGATGTGGGAAAGGTCTTTTCGATGCATTTCTCACATCTTCCATACATGCAGGACATGTTGCCAGTGTCACACACACTGGACTGCACAAGATCCTCTGGGCTTGATGTTTCAATGATTCCCAGTTGTTCCATTCTTTTTATTTTAAAGTCAATGTTCTCGTGCATTTTACATGCACACGTCTCTCTGTCTTTAACTTTAGGCCTAATAATCCAAAATGGCCTCAATCTAAAGAACTGAGCTTTGGACACGGTTTGCTCAGGATGTTCAGCAAGGAATCGTCGATGGAGTTTTGCCAAGGTGTCTGTGAGCGCTCTTTTTCTATAAATTTGTCCCTTGCGACGAATCTCTCCAGCCTTGCCATTTATGACAGTCGAGACATCATCCCGATGTAGGAACATGCTCACAATCTTGCCAAGTTGTTTCCGCCTGCTATTGATCGGCAGTCCCTTTTTAGCCTCTCTGATCCTGACCCTCTGTGAAATCTTTGCTGGTAGCCTTGGCATTGCAATTTTGGTCTAGCCTCCAGCCTTCTAATTTTTCTGTTTAGTGACATCAGTTGTGTTGTCTTTGCCCCAAGTTTCTCTTCAGCATACCTTAGCTTTGCTCTTAATTTGGCCACAATCTTTGATGCCCGCTCTCTTTTTTTAATGACTGGCCGTGTTCTCTGGGGGGTGGATGCCTCCATTGGCCCCGTCAGGTCTAAACTTTCTTCTGCTGGTGTTCTGTTCAGATTTTCATTATTTGTGTCCAGTTCCTGTCTGTTGGTTTCTTCATTTGCAAAGGAATTTTCTGTCTCACTTAATGAAGATGCTGGGGTTAGATCTAGAAGTGCTTGCTCTTGCTTTTTTTTCCTGTAATATTTTGTTGAATTTTTCCTCCATTGTATTTTTTTTCTCTCATGCAATACTAATATATCAGAGTAATCGTTTCTTGTTACATTAGGAAAAGGCATGCATTATCATTTTAGAATTTTGCATAAACAATAAGATTATCTGTCTGTTTTTAAGGCACACAGAAAACTGTTTCCTGCACTGATGTTGGTGTTGGCACCTCAGCTGTTCTGCCGTTTCTGACATCAACACCAATAAAGAGACCATGTAAGAGACGTAACATGGAATTGGAGGAGGAAGAGGAGAACTCTTTAGAAGACAGTTCTGTTGACATCGAGGAGCCACATGATTCTACATATGACCCTGCAGACACCTTGACAGAGTCAGCAGATGTGATGTGAGTTACATGATCTTTCAACCTAAACATTTTATTAATCATTTGTGTTCCATTCCTCTACTTATTGTAGCTCTACCAGGCTGGGACTTCTGCGCGAGGCTAAATGTTGGTGTGTGCGTGGCATGACGTAAAGCGTTTCCATTTGTTGTCCACTCTTCATGGGAACTTGTGTGTCCGGAAACAGATCAGGTCCAAACATACGGACAGTGGGTTTAGGGATATAAACAGACCTGTGTGTGTGGATAGGTACAATTCATTCATGGGGGGAGTAGATACTGCTGATCAGAGGATGAAAACCTACCTCTTTCCACATCGGTCAAAGAAAGGGTTTAATCGAATAGTGAATGCCATCCTAAGCATAAGTATGGTCAATGCCCATATAATTTACTGCAGCATGACTGCTGGTCCACACAAGCCAGTGAAGGCCTTTGTGCCGGACATTATCACTTCTTTGCTTGAGGGCTTCACCAAGAGAGAAAACAAAATAAGGGGAAGGCGTTCAGCAGAAGGGGGAGAAATGCCACAGAGGCTTACAGAACGCCACTGGCTCTGTGATACTGCCGATCGTCCAGACTGTATAGTTTTGCTCCGATCGTACCCGTCCTAAAGGTCGTCATCAGACACAGTACAGGTGCAATCAGTGTGGGGTAGGCCTGTGTGCTGTGCCATGTAATGAGAGGTTCCAGACTCTACTAATACTATAAACCTTTATCTGGATAGATGGGCGTTATGCCTCTGTAGGCAAATTACCAGCTTTCTGTTTACATGTGTGTGCTACTATATGGCACAGTAGTCATAATTTAGAACTGTTGGTTGTACCCATATACTGTTTTCTAATAAATAAATAAAAAATCATAAAAAACGCCTACTGTTTACATGAGTTTTGTGGTGTAGTAATAGTTCTAGTTTCCGACTGTTGGCTTACAACTTACTTTTCCCCTGTTCATTTGATATGTGGAAAACATAACAAATGGATGGAGGGGGCTGAATCTGATGAAATAAGTTCAACTCTCTTATTTCATGGAAATTACATAATCCAATATGGCCGCCGCCATAAGGTGTCATAATATGCAGATTAGATGGGGAAATTTACTCCCTAGATTAACTTTAGGTCATTCTCAATATTTGTCTCATTTACACTTTGTCTCTATCTCAAACCACTTTAAAGCCAGAGCCTTCTGAAATTTAGGTGGCAAAATCTAGTATTTTTAAAAATAAAACCCAGCCCCTAAAGGGTTAATATGACTCAAGGCATGCTGGGATGTACATAGAGCCTGCAACTGTACAAAGGTGGAAGACGGCACAGACTGCAATGTTGGAGCAGCTCACTGAGCAGCAGAATGTCATCCGTGGTGGTGACTTCAGAGCAATACTGCCTGTTACATTGTTTTTTACATAAACAAGTTTACTTGAAAAGAAATAAAACACACAATGATAAATACAATGTAATGTATATATTAAAAATAATTTATTTTGAAGGACATTCTGCCAAGTTTGGCAGCTACACGATGACGGACCTGGGGAGCAACACTGTTATTGATTTACAGCTGGTTCAAGTGAGTGTCAGCCTATCAATAATCTCTGTTGTAATCTGTTACAGTGTAGTTCAAATCAAGACATCCACACCCACGAAGATCCTGTTTTCCCCAGTGTTTGCATCCAACCCGCACTTCAAGGGAAGGCTGGTATATATGAGCTAACAGGGCTAACACACAGTAAAGATGAAAAACTATTATTAAAAACCTTAGAACATATTCTTTTGAATTTTGGTAGAACCTAGAGCAGCAACAGCACCAAAGAGTGACAGAACAAACCCAGGATATATGATATATCTTGGGTTTTTTCCAGTTAATGGGCTACATTTATTCAGCCCAAGCACAGTAGCGTAAGCTTCCATTGACTTTTGATTGACAGGTGACGTGACACGCCCCCTTCATATGCTGCCCATTTGGGCTAATTTCATTCAGCCCAAAGGCTGACCTTCGACCAATCACAGCGCAGTAGCTACAGTACAGTGACCTTCGACCAATCACAGCGCAGTAGCTACAGTACAGTGAGGCTAGTTCGTAGTATGGCGGGCGTTAGCATGAACATGAACGAGGTGGATTATTTACTTTCTAATCAATTTTATTTTAAGTCTTTGGAGGAAAAATTGGAAATACAGAGATTGGGGACACATCATCCAAATGATGTTCAAATAACACAAAAGGACAAACGACAAAATCGCAGTTTTGTGGTTTCAGCTAACGGACTGGCTAACAGCAAGTGTAGCTAGGAATTCACTTTTCTGTTTCCCATGTTTGCTTTTTGGAGGAGACACGGTTTGGACCCAACAAGGAATTGTGGATTTAAAATATTTATCCGACAAAATTAGGAAACATGAATGCAGCACGAGCCACATAGGAAATAATGTAAAGTTGTCATTGCTGGGTAAAGTGAACATCACCTGTCAGCTTAATGAGGGTCACCACATCCTGTACAGAAACACAACGAGCTGGTAAAGAAAAACAGGCATTCACTATCACAGACTGTGGACTGTATTACATTTTGTGGGGGACACAAGCTTGCCCTGCGGGGGGTCCGCCGAATCTCCCACTTCACTCCAGCGGAGAGCAGTTCTCTTTTTTAGACAGTCAATCAGCCGATCACCACACAGGTTGCAAAGTACACGTCTAAGACCACAGATTCTGTCAATACGAGACAGGAACTGGAGAATTGTTCGTGCTTCATATCTGAACTGCTGACCACAGATGACAATCGGCCACATCCAGATGTGGACACAGCTGCAGCCGCTGTAACGCCGCGCAGGATGCGGCACTATGATAATGTGTCAGTAGCAGCACAGTGCTGTGACTTAAGGCTCGCTTTGAGAAAGCCAGGCACTTGTTGTCTTTGCATGTGCACATTACCCAATGATCTGCAGGGAGAAACTGAAAGGTGAGCTGATGGTGAGGTACAGCAGTGTGGAGTTTGACATATTGATTAACCTGTTTGCGTCAATGAAAGGCCGTCGTTGTGAGCGGCGTTTTAAATAAGGTATGCCCAAGCTCTGAAACAACTCTCTCTTCTACAAATGATTATTTTTGTTTTTGTTTTGTAGATTTATGGTGTTGCAAATTGTTGCTGGTAGTTTTCTATAATGTAGTTGTAGCGCAATTGGCATGTGCTGATGTGTACAGAGGAGAGAGAGAGAGAGAGATTTTTTTTTTGCATCAGGCCATTCTTTTGGGTATGTCTCCCCATGTTGCCGTAGAGCACTTGCTATAACAAAGTATACAATGTTGTTGCTGTAACTTGATGTGATGATGCTGTTGCTGCTGTGTGACGTGTTGATGAGTGTAATGCATTTGTTTGCCCACCCACCCGAAATCTCCACCAGCTGTCACTGGACAGCAGGTCTGTACACATTACCATCTGTGGGCAGTGTTACTGTACTTAATGAGCTTATTAAACACTTTTTCACAAGAACACTAGCCTTCTGCAGACTGGAGAAGGTACTGACCAACAAGAGGGTCCTCAAAGATGTGGTGAAGCTTAGCCCTCATTACCAAACCTCATCGCTGGGGTCTTTTCACAGCATCATTCTACGCTTTGCACCCAAGAGTGTTGTCTTTGCTTTTCTTGGAATGCTGTGCAGGTAAAGAGGGGCTTTTTTATTATTACAATTATGAGTATGCACATACATCCACATCAAAATAGGCCAGGTATGGAGCTAAATGTGTGTAAATCATGAATTTAAAACAAACCATTGACACCTGCAGTGCACTGTCATGTCGACTTATTAATTACATGAAGCTGTTTATTTGAAAATAAACCACCATTGTCAGAATATTTTTGGGAATGTGTACAATGTGTTCACAATCTTATTTTGCTTTTTATTATTTTTCCTACGAAGACTATACTTGGCAGCCCTGCACTTCAATGAAAATGCGTCCACAGGCAACAACCTCAACTGGTGAGGTGCTATTCAGGCTCCATTTTCCAAAGTGGAAGGGAATAGGGAAAATAAAAATAAAACAGTTCTGTGCTGTTTGCTGTACTTTACTGTATTTCTAAAAATGAAACTATATAAGCTGTTTTTTGTACTTTCAGTGTTTGATATGTAGACATAAAATTGATGGTCATCAAGAGACATGTTCGTAGGAGTGGGATGAGTATCCAAAAGTACAAAAGATAAATTCCTGCACAATATCTAACTTGCAATACCACCATTTATTAGCAGCATGTTGGTCTCAGGCCTAGGTTTAAACATTGCTAATAAATTGTGTTATTGCAAATTAGATTTTGTGCAGAAATTTTTCTTTTCTAGTGTTTGATATGTAACATTTTAACAATTGTCAAACTGCCTTTCAATAAGAAAAGTAAGCAATGTAACAGTGGAAAATTGAATTTATTTATTTCATAACTGATATTTTTATTACAATAACAAAGAAATTATATGCAAAAAAAAAAAAAAAGTATTGTTCTATTCCCCTCAGACGTAAAGGCCCATAGTCTGCTCTGTAGATATTTAGTGCATTCTGCAGTGAGAACACATTTAAACAAACTGGTTGGAGGCCAGGGGGGCCTACCATGCAGGAAGGTGGGTTTTGAAGCTGATTTAGTCTTCTTGGACTGGAAAGGAACGGAAAAAAATATCTAGGCGTAGCTGAGAATAAAAAAAGAAGTG